GGAGGGACCAGACATTGTCCCCGGGCACCGTGGCAGGGGGCTGGGGCTGAGGCTGAGGCGGTGATGTGTGCCCCGGCGGCATTGCCGAGGGGCCGCCCCGGCCCCCCCCCCGCCCGTGCCCGGGGGGCCCGCGGGGGAGCCCCGAGGCTCCGCGGTGTGGGGCGAGAGGGGCGGCGACGCGCTGCCGCCTCAGGGGAGCAGGGCGCGGGGGGGAGCGGGCCTCTCGGACCGGCCTTGTCGCCGCCTGCGCTGTGGGCGCCTTTAATAACGCCACCTGCATAACTAATATTTAAGGAGGGAGAGAAAATTCTCGGCTTGTAACGCTGGGCCTGCCTCCGGGCGCCCTCCCGCGCCGAGGCGCTGGGGGAACCCCAAGCTCCTTCACCGTCGCCGCGGTGGCGAGGAGGAGCCGGCCTCCGAGGCGCTGGGCGGGTGAAGCCGCGGCAGCCGCGCGTTCACCCACCCCGCCGTCCTTCCTGCTGCCTTTAATGATGTCTGTACCGCTGTGACTGACTGTGATCCCTCTGCCCCTCTCAGGTGTCGGGACAACCTGCCCAAAAGCCACCGCAGGCGGCCGGGCAGTCTCACCCGACGCGCTTTCTTGAGACTGGAAGCAGAAACAGTCTTGCAGCGGCTCTTTCAAACGCACTTCTTCTTTTCCAAAGGTGTGTGGTTGTAAGGACGAGCTATCATTTGTCCAAAATCTAAATTTCTCTAAGCTGCCTAAAGATATTTAACTACAACTCAAAACGCCTGTGCCAAGGTCTCCATTTTCTTCACTTTTGTGGTAAGATATTTTAAGAACTTCTTTGACAAACTCCCCTGTAAGAACTAAACTCCGTCCCTGTATCTATTTCTCATATAATATTGACTGTGGGCAGTTCAGTTACAAAGATTACTTTATGTAGAAGTTGAATGACTACTTGCTTGGAATTTTAGTTGTCCATAAATCCACACAAATTAAAATAATCTAAATCAAAAAGTGATGAAAACGACAGAGGAAGTTGTCACAAAGTAAATTATACCTTATCTATTAATGTAATATGAATATCTCAAGGTTTATGATGCACGACTTAAAATTTATTAGTAATAATGAATAAAAAAGGCTAATACGTACTAGCTGCTAAAAGCCCCACGTGCAACTGTGCAAATGTAGGGGAAATACAATCCCTGCTTGAAAATGTTTACAGTCTGAAGTAATGGACAAAGCACAGGATCTATAAAACATAACAGCTTAAGGAATATTTTTGTTTACATGCATTTTTAATCTGTGCGTATTAAGATGTGAATTAGAAGTAAAAAAGTGAGCAAGTAGAGGAGAGATGGAAAAGTTTATTCACAGCTTTTCCCTCCTTAGTCGCACAATCTGAATTTTGTAGACTGTGTGAGGACTGGTGCAGCATAAGAGGTAAAACATGTTTAGATTTCATCAAGGCATTTTGTCCTTGCAAGGGATGTTCAGTTTTACTTTTTGCTCAGTGACCGCTTCACAATAAATCAGGAAGTGCTTTTCAGTTACCAGTGCAGAAGCTGACTGCAAAATTGCCAGGATCACAAGTGTTTCACTCAGCTGCACTCCAAACACTGTACGTAATGTTTCTGAAAATGTTCCCTTCTTATTGTAGTTCAAATGTTAGCACTGCTATCCATTATTGTGCTAAAGACCTTCTCATCCACGGGAAGGATCCCGCCAAAAGAACAAATACGTCTACTGCTAAGAAAGGTTGCGGCTGTCAACAGGTGCATTGGAGGAGAGGCACAGTATCAAGAGCTCAGTTTTATGGCACTGCAAATATATATAGGTTTGTAAATGGACAAAAGTTTCAGCATGATAATTAAGCAGGATAATTAAATAGAAGATCCCAGATTTATAAACTAAACATTCCACAGCAGCCGAACAAGGCTTAAACAACTAAGAAAAATATTAAAGTTCTGGAAAATGTAATTGCCCAAGTGGGTGCAAAGTGTTTTTCCTATTTAATCACTAAGTCTTTCTGGTGTAAGCCGCCCATATAACAAATGCAGGTATATTAGGTCTTCAGCAAGCTAACAGGTTTTGTATCTGACGTTTTCCCTTCAGAAGACAAAGAGATCCGGCACCTAGCACGTCTTCAGCTGGCACAAGGCTAGAACAAAAATCCTGGAGTGTTCAGTTACACGTAAACCAGAGCTGGCAGCACATCCCCGTCCAACCAGGAAGGTGAGATGCAGTAAGCGCAACTGCAAGAGTGGAGAGCACACGGACAAGTGAGCTGGTCCGGGTATGGTGCAGAGTAATACAGGAATGGAATTGGAATGTATCAGAATAGTTCACAACTAATGGACACGTTACTATAAAATACTCCAAACCGAATTTACTGATGAATGAAATAATAATAATCTATCACTGTAATTTACCAGTTACCTTCTTAAAACCGTCAGGAACATCAAGAAATCAGGTAGTCCTCTCCTGTCTGAAGATACATTTAACTACATCCTATGTCATCCTATTTTCAGGAAGATCTTGATGTTGAAAATTCCTTAGGCAATCTTAGTGCTTCCCACAATTAACTGTTAGAAGATCTCAGCAAGAGCCACTAAGTTTCTGTTCAATATGGTCTTACCTTTTACGTTAAGAAATTATGTGAAGGCGTCCTTGTAACATTAAGGAACTATTGTGGTTAATTTAATGTGCTATGCTGAGAGAGTGTCAGGGATTGAAGAAGTGAACATGTGCTTCTATCTGTTCTTTAACCTGAGAAATTCATCTTGTTAAGCAGGCGGTCTTTCTTCCTTCAGGGCTTCCACCCATTACATCCATTAGCCCTTGTTTAGAAGGTGCTTGCATACTGCATTGACATACAGGGTATTCAATTTGGGGAGCAAGACCTGGTTGCAAACACCTTTTCCCTCAAAAAAGTACCATTGTGGTATCTTCTGATACCATTTTCACTAGATACGCAATTTGTAAAAAATCCCAACCTTACTATGAAACAAAAAGCAGTTTACAAAGCAAGTTTTTAGAAAAAAGTAAAGCTCAAAGAGAAGGAAAGATAGCTTCGGTAGTTTTAGGCTATTTTAAGAAACTAAGTATAAAAGACAGGTTCTATCACTTTCTCTTTCAACCCTGAGCTCTTCGGTTTCAGCCCTTGCTACAAGCACTGAAGCTGAACACCACAATCTGATAGTTGGCAGCAAGTAAGATGATTTTTCATGTAACTTTGTAAACGACATCTTAGTCTCATTAGTTTGAGGTTCTCCCTTGAACAGATGATACAATCACCGAGCTACTAACACTGTACTTGGAAGCTGATACACTAACTCATGTAAACTTGCACAGAAATCTATAGTCAAAAGTGATTTAGTTTTACTTCAGGCTGTTTATCAGCTTGTTCATGTATTGCAAAATGCACCCTTTTTATTTAAAAAGGGACAATATGATGTCAGAAGTTAATATTCCAGCTGTTTCCTCTAAACTATTGTTTCATTCTGTTTTCGACATTCTATCTATACCACAGGCGTATATTCCAGCCTAATGTCTCCCTCCCTCCCTCCCTCCCTCCCCAGGAAGTGAAAACGAAATAGTGGTGTACCTTTGTCATGGCATTTTTCTGAGCTTGCTTGTAACCATCCCCTCTGCCCCTGAATTTTGGTGGGCCTCATTCAATTTTACTGTACTTGGTAGCACGCAGAAGATCAGGATGCACCTGCAAACTTGCAGCACGTGATACTTCCTTGAGTTGAAGGTTCCAAGTTGGCACCATTCACAGAGAATGTTTCATGTAACAATAGGCTGTTGTTGTTCTTTCCAGCTCAGTTTACACACAGCTAGAAGTTCACAGACATAATAAATAAATGCTACTCTCCAATAACCTGAAACTATTCGTATATTGTGAAGGGGGGGGATAGTTTGCATCTTCTAGAAATGAATAAAGAAACTAAAGTTAAAGATATTAAGAGACGTATGAATAAACCTTTTCAGTAAATGCAATTCACAGGTTTATACTTGTTTATAAGTATTTAACCACGAATATCTGGTAATTAGACCATTCCATGAATTTGCTATCATGAATGACCCTTAAATGAATTTGTATCAAATGATACACAGTAATTATAGCTATCATGCTCTTTGATTCAAAATTATTATTTTTAAAAAGATAAAGTATATGCCAGTATTTTTAAACTGAACAACAGATATCCATCTTAAATTTAAACCAAACAGCAGATATCTATCTTAAAGAGATCGTTAACAGTAAAAAAATTCTGAGCCATGGAAGACCAATAATAGCAAACGCTCCTTTAAAAGTTTAACCTTTCCCCCAGATAACCTTTTATCACTTCCTTGATGCTTTTCTTAAGAAACATGCCTTTTTTTAAAAGGCTCAAACTACCCAACAAGTTTATTTGAAAATTAAATGTCCGCCAAAAATTAGGCATTTGCAATGTTACTTCTGATATGAACTAATACATTTCAGAAGTAAAAACTGTAGCTGAAGTTTCAGGAAAGATGTCGGTTTTCCCACGATTATATGGCATTTGACCAGACAATTTCTGATTTGTTTGGTGATTTAAATACAACCACTATGTTATGCTGACAGCCATACAAAATGTAAGAGTAACTTGCACTTTAACCCATGGTAATAATATCAAGATTTTGCACAGCTACAAATGCAGCATTTGCATTTTCAGTGCCATACCAAGTTGAATTCAGTACCACCTAAACCCAAAGCAGCAGCTGATTAAAAAAAGAAAACATAAGTCAGATGATAAAGCTACATAGTTTAGTACATTAAAACAAAACCAAGGACAATGGTATTTGTATAAGGTTCCAAAAATATACAGATGGGGGGGAAAAAAAAAAATCACTGTACACAACTCTGAGGTTGTTAAAGTGACCGGAGAGACTGAACAGTGCAAGACATGCTTTTCCAGTTACAAGCTCAAAACAGAAGTGCAAAAGAAATTAAAGCTTTGTCTGAAGTGATTTACCTTTCAGGATAAGGAAAGCTTAGAATACTGTCATCAGTGTTACAGAGAAATCTCCATCCCACCCACCCCACCCCCAACACATACACACCAAATAGTTTAAGTTTTTCCATAATACAGCATTTAATTCAAATGGTGTCCCCCTGAGCTTGGTTATTGTAGGGACAATTTGTCTGATGCTTTTTAGATGTTGGCCTATGAATCAAGCGATGCATAGGCAGCTTCTCAGTTCTCCAGCTTTGGCTAACGATACCTGCCGTTTACAGGCAGTGAAAGTGGCACATAGCCTGGGTTCAAATGCTCCTGCAACTAGCTTCATAAGACCACCTCACTGTAAGGAAGCAGTTGTGCTGAAAGCAGATGCTAAGTTATGGCTGAGGAACAAAGAAATTGCTTTATAGGTCTTTGTACTCTCTCCCAGAGTTAAGAACAATTTCAGGCAAGTGCTTTTGGCAGGCTGACTAAACTGTACATGCATCTATCCATGCAAATGTAGAATATGGCTCCCAAGACCTAGAACCAGGGTGTGTGCATGTGAAGACTGGATAGAAGGCCCTTCCTTGTAAGTTTACAAAAATATATAGCCAATACTGTAGCTTAAGAAGTCAGTTTTACTCATTACAGAGATTCCCAAAAAGTATTAGCTACTTTTCAGACATTCCAGACAAGGTCACTTGTAACAGAAAAGGTTAAGTTCTCTAAAACAAGATTTTAAAAGTGGATCTTTCCTTCAAGTGAACAGGACATTTGTTTTTACGCTTAACTTTTTCGTCAGTTAAGACTGAATTTATTTAAGATTTTATGTGAACATATGCATAAACACAAATAAGTTTACTTTAAACACATCTGCACAGAAAAAAGATTAACCCTTCAAAACATAACAGAGCAGGTCTGGTTAGTATGTATCTATTGCAAATCTTAAAGATTCTGTGCATTAGGCCCACCCATACAGAAAGCAGGGGAAAAGTCTCAATAAAAGAAAATTACTGTTCAAGTCTAAGTGGTGTTTTGAAGAGCCAGCAGCCTAAGTGACACCATGAAGCTAGTCACAGTATCCAGACAAGCAGACCTGCTTGGGCTACTAAAGCAGTGTATCCTCCTGAAGGTGTCATTTACTCCCAAGTTATTTTCTGTTTCGAAGGCGTTTAGATTTCCTAGGACAGTCTGGGGGTTCAACCGCCTTCCTCCGTTTTCTAAGAGATTGTTCATTTGAGCCAGAACCTGAAGAATTTCCTACTGTGCTCTCCATCACCTCTCGCAGCTTGCGTTCGAGCTCAGCCAATCGGGCATTCTGTTCGCCTATGATTTGGGTTTGCTCTAGCAGTTTCTGGTCTTGATCTTGGAGTTGCTTCTGTTGCTCTTGCACTTTGATGCGAAGCTCTGAGATTTCCCGCTTTAGCGCTGTCAAGCCCGTGCCATTCGCTTTTACTTGCTGCTGGAGTTTGGTGATTTCCTGCCTTGAAGGGTTCTGCTTGGAGAACAGCTGCATTGTTGTCAGTGCTGCAGAAGGCCCTGGAACTTCAGAGAAAACTCTGATTAATCCTCTACAACTTTAAGACAAAGGCAGAAATCATGTCCCAGTTTTCATATTTTGCTTATCCCTACTCCCCCAACATGAACCTGAATACTGGTTGCAAGTTATGTGAACATGTAAAGAGATGTACAGTCATTTAAGTGTCTAACAAGAGCATATGGAATCTCCGAGCACAACTAGTTTAATTTAAAATACTTCGATTTTCAGTAGTCTGGAAAACAGCTCATCATTCACTTTCTGTATATAAGCCCCCCTCCTTTTGCTGTATCAAAAATTACGTAGAGAAATTATGTTGTCATCTAGACTTAGTGTCACAGATGTTCAGTCAAAAACCCACAACATGTCTATAAATTACTTATTACAGAATAGTTATATTAAATAAATATATTTCAATAGAGCAGTACAATTCTGCTGTCTTAGTTGTAGACAGCTAAAGCTCTAAAATTTTGTGGTTTGGGGCTTAACAAGATATTTCAGTTTAACTTACTTTTTAGAAGAAAGGAATTTATTTTCCATGCTTCTTTAGACTCACTCTTCCTAAGCACTAAAACCATACTGGAATTTGAGCTTGGGAATGTTGATTTTAATAAAGTTCCTGCAAATCAAGGAGACTAACAGCTACTGTATAATTTCTTTCACTTTTTCTATCATAAAAGATATCTATCACTTTTTCTATCATTTTACTCTTCTAGCAATGCTGTGCAAGTAAGATGCAACTTTTAAAGCGCTACAAAGACAGAACAGTCTGGAACAGCCTAGAACAGTCATCCTCCTCCTCCTCTTTTTTTTTCCCTTTAAGATGCCAGCATAGTAACAGTTATGTGACACTAAAGGGTTGCCATTAGATAGGTTACGCTCCTCCCCCAACACAAGGTAGGCATTTTTATGCCACATAAAGCCTTGGCCTTGAAAAGCCAATTGACATCAATTATGGTTTGGGGCAATACTTCTTCAACTGAGAGACTCAATGGAATTGAGGTATAATTAACAGCATATAATTAAGAGGTGGTATACACACTTATGGCTAAAAGGATGGACAGGACATACCAGAAACAACAAGCAGCTCCTACAGTTACGCCTATCATTTTTGCTTAAGACGTAATTTTTTTTTTTTTTAATTAAGTTATCATTTCAGAGAGTTAATTTCACAGTTCCTATGAAGTGTGAACACGTTCAGCACAGGGAAAACACTACAGTTCTGCTAACCTTTTGCTTTTGGCCATTATATGAGGCAACTACCTTACACTTCGGTTCACAAAAGTTCTGGAAAATCTGACAGATTATACGAAGGACCAGTTTCACTGTTTATTTATAGGCTGTTCTTTTAATTGCCTTTTCACTATGACCCAGAAGTATTTTGCTTGTTAGTGTATACATTAGTGCCCCAGGAAAGTAAAGAAAGCACATACAAATACGTTCTAGCTCATAGAGAGCACTACAACAGCTTAGGCTAATTCATTTGCTGATCATCCTAAAAATAAAAGGCATCAAGCTGTCATCTCACGTGCCAAATTTCAACCAAGTGCAGTGATAAAGTCTCATTCATTGGTGGCACAAAAGCGTTTGTTTAATGAATACACACTATGCATAATTCTAACATACATTGAAGTGACTGTTCTTTTGGTAGTACAAAGGCTCCTTAAATTTCAAAGCAAATGAATCTCAGTTAGCATTCTTAAGAAACAAGTATCATCAATATTTGTGTAATAAAGCTTGCATTTAAGGGAGGGAGCTTTGAAAAGATACAGTGCTGTGAATTTTTACAGAAAAACTAAATAAAACTTAACTATACGTTGGAATTAATACCTGGGGCAGTTCCTATCAGACGTCCCGATACATCTGACCCAGGCATCTTTCTTTTCAGTATTGGAACAATCTTCTCATCAAAATATTCCATAGCCATGGAGGAAATGTCCCTTAGTTCTTGAAGAACTTCATGAGCTCTCTGAGGAGCTCTTGTAGAGTTTACATACCTTAGCACACGATAAATTTCATCTATTACCTAAAACATTTAAGAAGAATTAGGATTTTCTGATAAAGGCAAGATTATTTCAGATCATTCTAGAAGCGCTGGCATATTCAGGGGCTTTTGCTCATAACTATTGCATACCACCGTGCTTTAGTTCTAGATCAGCTTTTTGAAATGAAATGCGGTTTGTGATATATCGGAGAGGCTATTCACTTGATCTATCACAACTCTCTTCAAACTCATGAAATAATGCTCATCGTGTGAAATTTTGTTTCACTACACCCATACTTGACTTCTAAGTTATAGAATCTACACTCAGCAGAGCATCATCATTTCTTTTTGGAGAACCTGAAGCAAGATACTCTAAGCCACACTAAGGAGCAGTCACTCCCCCAGCCAGTTACGAGGCATACGGAACACATGAATGGAACAGCAAGAATTATCGTTATGTCAGTCTGAAGAGCTGTAAATATTTACTTGAGTCCACTTGCATACACCCAAAATATTGCAAATTCAGATTAAGTCCAAAATATATTAATTTATAAAACATCAATCCACTACTGACAGAGAAGATAAGCACCCTCTTAACAGGTCTAACAAACAAGCCCTTTGGTGAGGAGAGATACAGAGATGAAAGGTGTCTCACTAATCTATGAATTACAGTCTGAGGCAGGTCAAGATAGGAGTGCTGGTCTCTTATTACCGAGACTACTGACACAGGTATTTCGCACAGGATTAAGAATGGTTGAAGAGTCCCCTGAAGAACACAGATCTTAAGGACTTAGAATCATAGGTAGGACAATACAGTTGCATCTTGTGTTTTAATAAAGCAGCTTAGCTAAAAAGTTGCAAAAGCTAGACAAAAGTGTCTCATCACACAACAAGCTCACAAAAGACTTCTGTAATTTTACCCCCATTTTATCCTGTTAGCAACAACATCCTCAAAGCATTCTCCTGTTGTCCTCAATATAAAATCTTGCAGCAGCGCTATGCTATCACCAGGAACCCTCACACAGTATGCCGAACCTCAAATCAGGATTCACATATTCTAACACAAATTCACTTCCTGACAATTCCGTGGCAGCTTCATTCAAATGAAATTTCCTGAGGAGAGCAGGGCAGGCAGGACAGAAACCACAGACTGTAAGTGAACACTAAACCTTGAATCTGCTTGACCAAAATAAGATTTTCTGGTGAACTGGTAACTGTGCTGAGAGAGCAGCAGTGCTAACAAGCTCATACACTAAGTAAATAATTAAAAAAAACTTTTTTAGCTGTAATATCAGAATACAAACAAGGTTCTTATGACTCAGTGCCCGCAAGGAAAATGGCTGGCAAGCTCGCTTGCCCAGCTCCTGCACACCCCAGGTCTAGACTGAGTATTGCCTTTCCGTCTACTCTTCAAAAAGTAAGGCAGTATTTCTTTTAACTATTCCATTTACTATGTGACTATCAAAGACTTAAGTTTATTTGACTTTATGTTCTATTACATTTTTAAAAATACATGGTACATATAAAAACACAAAGTCAAATAAGCATAAATATATTAAACTATAATTATTTAATTAAATATCAAGTCAACAAGAGTGTACAGCAATCAAGTTACCTCTTCAAGATAAAAATACATTTCATGCCGACAGCCTATCCTACTGTACTGAATGTAAAAATGCCTGCCATGCTTCACCTGAATCCAACAGCTAACCCTTCCATTCATCCCACTGCAAGTCAGTTATCTGCCCATGAAAAATTAATACCAACATATCCAAACCTCACATGGTAGATCAATGAATAGAGCATTAGGCTAATGTTCACAGATCTTGTTTCAACCCTGAGCTGCACCGCTTTTCCTCAGATCATGATTTTGTCAATTCCCCTGTGCACTTCTGTCTTCGCAGCTTATAAAACAGTGGTATCTCGGATGTACATCTCACTTGCATAATTTACATTTTATGCTGGGGTAGTATTCTGAAACACCAGAACTGTTCAGCAGTAATCTACATTTAAAACTAATTCCACCTACTGTACAAAAATACCCCATCCACTGTAATATTGAACAGTGTTTCCACATACTAAATATCTTAATTCAATTAATCTGAAGTACTCAAACCCTTAAGTGCCTAAAATCTTCCTGATTGAGTGAGTGCTTAGTGTTACACATAGTCTAAATTACTACATCTTCTGATGACCTGGCCTCCAGCTGTTTTGTACAATTAATATTCAGAATTAAACCCTATATGTCATGTGTTTCTTGTAAAAGGTTGCATAGGATGTATATGTCACAAGTCAAATGTCAGAACTGAGAGAATCTAAGAGAAAATGGAAATCAAGTTTAAAATAATTAATATTTAGATAATAGTCTGGTTCATTCATTTCAGCCTGCCTGTTATAGCACACTATTGGCTTGTGTGTTTGTTTGCAAGTATCTGAAACACAGTTTCAGTGTATACATACATTATATAAATTTGTCCCAGCTGTCCCAGGCTAAGTTACACAATCATATTTTTTAAACACAGATATACATTCACATAATATAGTCTACATTTTACCTTTCCAGGTATGAAGCAACAGAGATTGGAATCCACATACTTCATGAAAGTCATATTTAACAGAGAGAGTCTCGTTTCTACAGCAGCAAGGATGTCTGCATGACGAGCTAATGAATGGTTTCTTCTTTCCGACTCCCGTCTAGAAGACAGACCATTAAGTGACACTGATTTAACAATGAGTCAACAAAATGAAACTGTAACAATCGCTCACGTTAATTTCACCCTCCCTGGTTTGAAAATGTAACCACTAACATTAGTTCTGTCTTTATGGAAAAAGCCTGGTACAGATGGAGAACCAGCTAGTAATAGCATACTACACTTTCTTAGACAAAATTTGTTCTTTAAATAATTACTACATCTTATGTGATCCATAAACTCTATATGTAACTTAGGACTATTTAAAAACAAGCTTTCAGTACTAGCTAGCAGTAGACACTGAGTCAGTGTAAATATTTTTATCCCCCCATATTCCTGCAGTTAGTACTTAATGCAATTGACATAAATTTAATGTATTATTAGTGCTTGCTACAAAGTTTGGGTTGAGATATAAGCTCTTTTGACAAAGGATCTCTACAGTAAGTAGCATTTAGTTTCTTCACTCTGACTGGGAAATCTGATAGGACACAGCAGCAGCTGCACTTATTCACTGGAAAGAGGAGAAAAGACATTGCTTTAGTGAGAAACTAGCTCCCAGTAACACCCACATGTCAAACCCCCCTCCCTTTCCCCTGTTTAATCCTTGGCACTGAAAAACTTTGTGCTTTTTTTTTTTTTTTTTTTTTAAGCAGAATCGTAGATAAATCTTAAGTGAAGGCAGCCAGTCTTGAAAAGGAATGGCATTTATTCATTCCTAAGCCCTTGCTTGATTTGCCAGAAGAGTTGAGCAACACAGGACCCACTCTTCTCTTCTCTGTTTAAAATACCAGAGACATTTTCCAATATTCCAGTTCCTAGTATACAACAATTTACATTCATCCACACCATTATTTTGTAATTAGACCTTCGGTTTAAGGTGCTTTTGGAAAAAAAATGAAATTAAAACAAATGTGATTCAAATTTTCAAGATATACAAGTTGAATTAGCTAGCAAGAAATTCCTTTTCAATATTCTCCTTAAAAGAATCTAGCACATTTAAGTTTAACTACAGTTTTAAGTGGTACGTACCTTGGAAGCTGAGCTTTAACTTGCTTTTGACACAAGTTGTGGTATCTTTCCACTTTCAGAAATCCCTGATTTAGCATTCGCTGGCAAACCAAGTCCATTCGCTTACAAACCTGTATTTAAGTAAAAAGAAAAACTTAAGGCTCAATTAAGGCCACAAGTCACTTTTACTATTATCTTATCCATACTTGCTGGGTAGTAAAAGATTCTCTTATCAGGTCTTGCTCCATTTCAAGAAGCAGAAACTGCAGTTGAGCTTAAGGCATCACCATCCCTAACAATGATCACGCTACTCCAAAAAGGAGCAGCTGTGTTCCACACGGTTCACAAATTAATCTCCTGATATTGCCTAACAAGAGACAGTAGGCTGAATTCCACCCATATATAAGCAGATACAATTTCCTCTGATGTTAATGGAAGTTGCAAACGCCTGCGCCTGGCTTTTAACTTGGTCTCCAGAGTGATTCTGATAGATCAAGTTAATATTTTGTAGTCTCAAAAAGAAGCCTTTAAAAACAAGAAATCGTTATGGTTTTCCTTCAGCATTTAAGGCTTATGTTTTTGAAGACGGTCAAAATTAAATTTAAAAGCTTATGCAATACAGTGCACAGGAAGCAAGATTCCTTTTCATATTAAAAAAAGTCTTTTCTTCTCTGATTAACAGATTCCTTTATTTGCCATGTCGGATACCAACAGCCTCAATTTTTTCACAGATTTAGGGAGAAAGGACATTAATAGCTGCAGAAGACGTAACAAACTGCTAAGTTTAAACCTTCACAAAGTAACCAGTTGCAAGACAAAGCCAACTTGTACAAAAGCTTAAACCAGTTGCAATTCAGTTCTGAAGATGCAAGAGCTTAGTAAATCAACTGTCCTTTGAAATTGTTATTTTTTCGTACTGAAGTGCACAACTCCCACTGTGACCCCGCTTTCCAATGGATTAGCTTTGCCATTTTTTTTTTAAAACACTCCTTCCCTCCATACACTACTCATTTCATAACTTTGAAGTCCATGTAAATTTATACCTTGAGGAAGAAAATTCTTACTTCTCCTAGAAGAGCCTGCAATTCTTTTCTGTTTATATGGAAGGCACTACTTAAAAAAAATGTTCTACTTTCTGTGAGTCTTCCTTTAGTCACAGCTAGTTTAAGTTCTGTGAGTAAGAATTGAGCATTTTCAAACAAATCTGTATTAACAGACCACCAAGTAAGTGCTGTCGATCTGCCTGTGCTCCTCTGTATTAGATCTTTCTCCTTAACAGTCAAAAGAGAACGATCAGACAGGCTGACTACAGAGGTACAGTCTCAGTACGCTTCTCCCTCACTAGAATCAGCTAAATCATTTCTACTGTATAAAAAAATAGTGCTGGCCCTTCAACTACAGGAAGGAATTGCCACGTCTTCTAAGATATTAGCTGCGTTAGGGATGCCTAGGTCTGAAATCATTTTTGAGCACAAGACTTAACAGCTTACCTGTAGTTCTAATGCTACCAAACCCCTGTACTAGGAACTAGTACCTGCACAGGGGCTTTGTTAGCTACGCAATTATTCAGCACAAGGGCAAAACAATCCTGGATACATTATTAGCTGCAAATTCAGAGGAAGCACAGTGATTTTCGCCACGTGCATGCTGACATCTAGTGGCACCAAGGACCTTTCCGTGTGCTGAGGCCCTCCCACATCCAAGAGAGAAGACCGCAATGGGTAACACTAGATTTCTTAAACACTGGATTTTTTTAATCTTCCTCATTTCCTTACGCTACGCAGCACAAAGAATTATTTGCTCCAGTTGCTGGATATTACCCATATTTGTGCCAATAATCAGTCTAGAACCCAAACACCAAGTAGATAACAGCCACCACCAGAAACCAAAAGTGTTTGTCTGCAACTTATTTTACCAATCACCTCTTAATTCTCAGCTGGCACCTGATGTCACCGTTTAAACCATACGGCACCTGAAGTTATAAGAACAATATACCTCTTTTAGACTGCATAGTCAGCAGTCATATGCAAAGTAGCGTTATTACACTTTTAAGTGTTCATATTAGTCCAAGACAGTTTGATACTAGCTATTCAATGGACCACGAGAAAGTAAAAAGTTAAATTTGCTCATATTTCTATTTGCAAATTTTTGTGAATATTTTTTTATTCTAGCCATAAAGCTGAAAGACCCCAAGTTTCCTCAAATGTCAAGTCCAACCAGACACTGTGTTCAAATTTCAGTGTTAGAAAGTTATTCCAAGTTTGTGTGAAAAGCAGAACGAAAAGGTGGTTGCTTCTTAGCATGCTGACTTATATGCGGTAACAGCTTCTATGAAAGAACTGATTTTCCACTTCATTTGAAAATAAACTAAACTGACACAATCTGCTAGAGGACTACTACCAGCTTCCCTTTCCTCAAGCATGTCTTATTTCTTCCAAGCTTCGCTAACAGATAACCAATATCAAAGCAGAGATAAAAATATCCTTAAGCATTTAGATTGAATACATGTTATTTTTCTTAGAGGCAACACATCATGTTTCATAATGCCTTTCTAGGGTGAAGTGACAAAATGTTGATGACTTCAGCAAGAAGCTTTAAAATAGACATTCCTGCAAATACAGATTTGCTGAAACTGTGGGAAGATTAAAGCCGTGCTGACCAAAGGCTATCGGTCCTTATTTGTGCTGTGCTGAAAATAAGCACAAGTTCGCTGCAGAATCTAAGACACTTCTGACGTGCGTCAGCATCCAAGGTAACCTTCTCCTCAGACTGTTCATGGAAGAAGGTTACAGATTTGTTTGGTTTTAATCACGTTTGCTGTAGTAATAGCCTGAATGGAAGTGTATTTCCAAGCTCAGACACGTGAGTGAAGAGAATTTCATTATTATCCCACTCAGGTAAAAATTCCAGAGCTGCCGTAAGTCATCAAAAAATCACAGTAAAATAAGCCTTCAAAAGCCAGAAGATACGCCAGCTTCCATATCAGCATGCATACCAGGCTGCAGCTTGTCCAGAACATTACAGCTTCAGACATAATGATCTTTTTGGTTTTCTGTGTTTCTCTTATGATGACATATCAGAGGAAGTAGATGAAGTAAATATTCAAAAGGGCTGAAAGCAAAATGCTGCTGCTTTTCCTCTCATTCACTTTACCTGAACAAAAGTTTGAGAACGCAAGACTTGCACCGAGGCATAATTTCAGACACCACTGCATTCTGAATACCTATTGTTTAGTCTCCATTACTTTAGATCTACTTCACTGCTTAACCAGTACGTGCTTCATTTATGCTTTTAAATGCAGTAACACCAGGAATAGCAGAAAGCATTATGCTCAGGAAAGCAAGTGCTTCTTTGCACAATGAGGGGCCCACAGTCTTGCCTTGCCTAACAGCAATCATCATAAGCAGGAAACGTTCTTTGCCTCGTCCTTTGGTGACAGAAAAAGTATTGACTTTAAGCCTTAGATTATGTTCCTCATTATGCTCTATATAAACAATAGAGGTTCCTATCTCTATTTTAATCTATGTCCTCCCACCCAGCCAACTCCTCCGTCTGTCTTGTACACACTCTAGATCCAACACCAGTTCAACTCAAAGATTTTTTTTTTTCTTTTTTTTTGGATCAGTGAGCTAAGGTGATCCAGAAAAAGAGATTAGGACATCCATTTCCTTCAATGCTGGGATCCAGAGAATGCATCAAAGTTATCAGTTTAGGGAATCCACATTTTGCGTCTACATATGTATGATCAAACTTCGTTTAGGTTGACTGATGTCCTGGATCGTATCTTCCTACCTTCCTCAAGATGCTTTATCCCATGGAACGCCAAATTCTAAGGGGTTAATGAGGCTGCTTTTGGGCACATTTTTAATATGCATGAGACCCAAGCAATTTAATCCCTGCCATTCAATTAATGTGGTCCTGCAATGTATCTTTAGCAGAATACTACTCATTATAAGATACACCCACTCGTCTTTGATAAGCAGCTCAAGTCGGTTCTCATAGAGAAGAAAAATTTACTGTTTGTGCAAGACAGATCTTAGAGCAGGAATATACAAGTGTCTCCCGAGGCCACGTGTAGCCTTTAAAAATCTCAAAGTGATGAAATTTCATAATGAATTTAAGCCTAGGCATTGTTATGAACACCTTTAGTTCTGAAGGGCCATCCAAAAGACCTAGCTGATCAAGCTTATGTGGTTGTGAGCTACATTTTTGACTAGGTCAAACCAGAAGGGCTTTGATTCTTTACATTACTGCTGGTTAACAGAGACAAGTGCGCTTTCTTCTCAAAGGAATGTTCATAATGCCTTCTGACGTGCTGAAGGGAACAGTAAGGAATTTGATGGAGATTAAGTTTCTTGGCTGTCGCTGACTCAAAAATTAAAAATAGGGAAAGTAGTAATAATTGTTCCGTGTGTGTGTCAAAGTTGATATTTATCCAGTCTGGTTTTGCATATTTCTGAAACTTCTGAAAGGGGCAGTCTTCTGGAAAAATGAACTTGCAGGTGCTCCATAAGAGAGCACAAAAGCATTGCATTTTACTTCTTAAGTAGCACTGAGAGTTAAACAGCTGGTTTAGTCCTTACACCACCATCTTTCCTATTCTCAGCTTCACTGCTGACAAAGCATTGCTTACAAACATCAACTGAGCCCTACAGAAAGAAAAAACCTTCTATTGATTAGTGATAGCTCCCATGGGTATTACTATTTATAAAATGCAACGGGAAAGTTGCAGCAAAGGGCTGTGTCTCGCGTTACAGATACGGACCATGCAACACTAAGCATACCCAAACTTCTCTTCCCTTCATTCGAACTGTAACTACTCAAAAGCAGAGGCTGCAATCCAAAAAGGCAGTACTACATCTTTTTCACAAATCCACTACCTGCTCTCACAGAAGAAGCGAAAGTCTTTAGAGGACTGACAGCATGCCAGAAATATTTAGGTACTGGTGTACTTGGTGCAGTATGAACAAGAACAGATTTTCTGCTTGAAGAGCTTTCAGTTTAAAGTTACAGTCAGGATGCAACACTTCAGGTTGCTGATCCAGGACACGTGCAGTCTAATTTTCTGCAGAAATATGCTTGTAATATTATCCAGTTTAGGCTAATAGAGTTCTTAAAATAGAAACAGTACAGTACACGCAAGTTTACTGAGGGTTACATAAGCTATGCATTAATTCCCTCACTATTGGTCCATTTACAACCTCATAAGAAATTCAGTAAGATAGCAGCTTATCATATTATGTCATGGTTTACATCAGGCTCCTTATGCAGGCAGTTAAAGATGGATATACGCTGATCTCCTCACTGACAGCTGCGCTTTTTTTTTTGGCATTATAAAGTTTGGAGGTAGAGGTAATATCTTTTATTAGATCTACTACTACGACTGGAAGAAGCAGGCAGCCTTTCAGGCAGACAAGGGCTTTTTTACATCTTCTTTTTTGCCCCACATTTATTTCTAGATAGGGTAGGGTCCTTGGAGCAGCAGGCTCACCATCTCCTACACTTGTAGGCTTAAGCCCTATAAGTAAAAATAAAGACACACATGAGACACAATAGGCTAGCCCCCCAAGAACAGCAGTCGCTAGGAGCAATAAGCTTCCAGCAGCCCAGTAATTTCTCACAGAGGACGAACGGAATGAAAGCAGCAAGAGACGGTAAGAGACCTTTAGGACGGCGTGTGTGGAGCACACAGCTCCATGCCGTACCCGAGGCTCGGGGGCGGCTGGGGAGAAGGGAGACAGCCCCATCCCACCCTGCCCCATCCCCGGGCAGAGCAGCAGCCCGGCGG